AAAAATTAAAAACTAAATTAAAAATTAAAAGAACTACTCTCTCTCTCTCTCTCTCTCTCTCGAAATTTGATTACGATGTTTCGAGGAACAATACGGTACGGTATCGTTCACCGCGTATAAACAATGTCGCGATCGAGTGAAACGTAAATAGACGCGTTACGCCGGATCGATTCCAGGTAAACACGTACGTAACATTTTCCCCGAAATTGTTGGAGGGGCGACGGTAAATAATCGGCCTCGACGCCGCGTGTGTGTCTTCTGCCAAAACGTTTCGTGCCGTGGTCGCATACGGAGTTCCCTCTGCGGCTTTCAAGCTGGAGAATCATTATTTTCTGCTGCACCGATCAGGGCCGGGCCGCCGACAACTGGGCCATGTGGCGCACGTTAGAGAAGCAGAAGATTATTAGAATCGAGGAGGAGATCGAGGTCAGATTCGGCCGCATAATGAGCCGCGCAACGATACTCCTGCGCCACCGGCCAATTACTCTTTCGCACGTCTTCTCCTTCCGCGTGTCACGTTTCGAAACCTCGGATATACGCGCCTCCTTTCCTCCCCTCTTCTTTTTTTCCCCACCCTTCCTTTCCACTCAAGAGAGATCGAGATGGGATCGTCTATTATGAGAAAAGTTTCTTCCAACTTTCGATCGAGAGGTTTCTTCGAATCGGCCGTAATTGATCCGCCGCTATCCTTCCGCGGTTCGACCTTTCTTATCATCCACCGACCGTTCGAGTTTTAAGTATAGCATATAAACTCCGGGAACAGGAAAAGTTGCGATTAAACGAGACTACTCCCACCTCGATTTCTTAATCAACCTTGAGCCAGTTTTTCCTTCAATTTTCTTCCCTCTCTCTCTCTCTCTCTCCTTGTTTCTTGATTTCGTAAGACGATAATCGACGACGATTCCGTCTTCTTCCTCGATCGAATTTTTCTTCTACTTTCTTCTATTCTCTTCTTCTCTCTTTTCCCCCTCCTTCCCTCGTTGTTTTCGTACGCGATACGAATTCGCGCGCGGGCGATATCGGCGATATGCTTCTGGGTAATTTCACCGCGATTCCAAGTAGACACGCGTGTGCACATTCGCGAGGGCACGCGCGAGAAGGAAGAGACGCGTGGTCACGTTTTATATCTGGAGTGTTGGCGAAACTATTTTTAGAATGACGCCGCAGAACAGTAAACGTGTGTGTGGCGCGCCTAACTGTTAACCCTGACCCGGTAATAAATATTATACCCCCCGTATAATACGAGGAAGCTATAGACACCCCCACTTGCAGCTTGATAAATCCACCCCCCACGAATCAACTGGGCGACCAGCCTACAACCCTGAGAATGAAATTGATTATTAAAACGGACGAGCGGAGTTGTCGGAGTTGACGGACGTTCGAAACCGCTTTCGTCTCTTTTCGTTTCGTTTCTTACTCTTTTTTTTTTTTTGCCCGAAACGAGAATCGTAATCGCCGGGTAAACAGTTTTCAATCGAGAGAGTTCTCTTTATCTCGCTCATTTCATCAAGTTTCGTCACCTTTCTTTTAACACGTGTCTTCCCTTCCGATTCGACGAAAGTAGAAAATTAGCATGGCGTGTATCGATCGTTTTTTTAGTCTTCGAGGTTTCGTTAATTCCGAGAAAGAACGATCCGATCGATCTTTCGACTTTTTCTTTTGCGACCATTTCGATGGACATAGAAGGATACGAGTTTAGCCACGATCGATGGACGTTCCGTGCATCGTGGAAAATCGCACCCATCGCTTCCAATCGTCAACACCTTTCCCCTCCTTTAATCCTCCTTTGCACGGAACAGTTACATATAATACTCGTTAAAAAAAAAAAGAAGAAGAAGAAGAAACCTTCGTTTCGCGCGCGAGATTATTCTCGAAATTCTCGAACCGTGGTCGAATTTTACATTTATCGATTATCGTATTTCGTGTGCGTGAAGTTCAACGACTTTTGGCCGAAAATCAAACAGCTTTACGATCAGCATCACAGAGGTAGAATCGTGCCAACGATCCGATCGTGCACGCGACCAGATAAATCGAAAGTTTCGCGCCATCTGGCTCGCCCAATACGATTGCCCGTCCAAAAATTCCCTCTCTCTCTCTCTCGAATTCTCTCCCAAACATATCCTCACATATTCTCCATCCTTCGTTCATCGAAGAGAAAAAGAGAGAGAGGTATCCAATTAATTTTCCAAGCCAGAGTCATCGTCCGATTATCCTCGATGCTCAGGTGTTGGTGCACGACGCGATTCGCGATCCCATTTCCCCCCTCCCCGCGAAAGTTTGTTTAATCCAACAACGGTGACTAACTTGGTTTACGCGTAACTCGCTCGAACACTCGCCGAGTTCATCGAGAAAAATATATATCGCGGAAAGTAGCACAGCGCTCTCTTCCTCTCTCTCAACTTTGATAATAATTGCGCGAAATACGGGACATAACAGAGAACGGATACGAGATAGAATATAATGGACGAATCGAGCGAATTTTGAAGGGAAGCGTTCGAGCTACTTTTCGCGATATATTTCGTTCCCTTCGAACAGCTTGTAATACAGTTTGTAATACCTGACTAACCAATCACTAATGAGATTCAATGACGTTGACTGGAGCAGTCGACAGGGCAAGGGCGTCGTTTCGTGCTGGCCTCTCGAGGACCGGTGTCGTTGGTCCACCAAGGGTCAGGAATCGGCCGAGAACCACGACCAACTTACCTCATCGACTTGCTGACGGGACCATCCTCGACGAGGACGCCTCCGAGAACTGGTGAGCGACAAGCAAAAATTTCCATTTTTCTCTTTTTATTACTCTTTTTTTACTTTACTCTTCTGTTCCTTCTGTTCGGAATTTTTTTTTTTTTTACATTCCAATTGGGAAAAATCGTGAAATGGCGTGCTTCTTTTTCCTCCAAATGGAGAAATGGTCGAGCTGGTGGTGGCGCGGTGTTGCGCAGAAGCCAATTAAGAAACCGACGAAGCCGACCCAACTGAGCACACTCGCCTCGTTAATGATACGTCGTATTGTTTTCGCGCCGTGTGTTCGAGGCGCCACAACGAAGCCTGGCATTCGATACACTTCCGATATCTCGTTAACCCCGTGTCCAATATAATCGATCGGCGGGCCAACAACCGGAATCCAACGGGAATCTCGATCGTTTCCTACGAATTTTCAACCGTGACGATTGCTTTTCCGACTTTTAGGTGGAATTTTTTAATAATTTATTTGAAAGATTCTGTTTTTGATATCCGATCAAATTGTTGTAATCGTGGAGTAACGAAACATTCGATATTCGTGTTAACGACGCGTGGATTAGATTTTTACTTTTTCAAATTGTTGCGATTCTATATAAGATCTTTATATTGTTCGAGTATTTTGGTGTCTGAAACGGGAGCCAAATCTCGGTGGATAGGAAAGAAATGTTATTTGCATTTTGGCCAAGATAAAAGATAAGAGTGGCTCGATCGTTCGAATTTCTATATTTAGAATGACCAATCAACGATCGAATCGAATTATTCTTGTTTATTTATATTATAGTTATATCGGTGCGCAATTTTTCTATCCACTGGAACGGCGCAAAGTGAGCTCGCTATCGAAAGTGAGCAAAATTTTTATGATACAGAGTATTGGCAACAAGCAGAAAACACGGTAATCTCGAATGATCGAAAGCAAACCCGAGATCAAATATTGGCACTCGTTTCTATGTAAACATCAGTTTCGTGCGGTATCGTTGAATTGATTAAAGGTTTCGTAAACAACTCTTATCGATAATTCTACCTAGCCACCACGAATGAGTCACGAATCGTGGCCTATATCTTTTTTTCGTTGCGTTGAATGTCATTTGAGCGATACTTCTCTCCCTTTCCACGTGTCGATTCGCCATCGTTCGTGACAAAATATACGTCCGAGTTTCCCTTTCAAATCTGTACGCGAAATTCGACGAACGAAATCAATATCTTTGAAAACAGGAGAACGAGAATATTTTTAAGATCTGCCATCTTTCGATTGGGAAAAGGAGAGGGAAAATTCAAAGGGAAATTATTATGATAATCGACAAGGGAGTAGAAAATATTCAAAGATTGTCTCCTCGTTCGTTCGATTTGCACGACTAGAAAGACGTTCGAACAAGGAGAAGTATAGAAAGAGGAGCTTTCGTTGTTTCAAGGAGCCGAGATTCGTTTTTCTTCGCGTTCCTCTCGATCGAGCATCCCTCGCTTCCTTGGCAATTGTATCGCTGCAATTGCTACTGGCAATCTCCCATCGTTACATCTCTTCTCTCGCTTAAAAACTTTCTCCTTATTCGTTTCGAAATATTTCGCGGTGCTAGAATAAAAGATTCGAATTTCAATTTTCAATCGGAAGAATAAATCTGTCCCCGATAAAAGCATCCTTTCAATGAATATAAATATAACCTCTTCGGATAAGAAAAACTTAAACGGAGATCGAGACGTAGCAGTTCTTTGAAATATTAGAATTTCCATATCAATATATGGAATAATACACGTGGTCGCATGTCTCCCGCATTTTTGTTCACAGGCGTGGAATCCCCTTCTCTCTCGCTTCTCCACCACGTGCGTTCGACCAGCACACGCAACGGCTCTCCCTCTCCCGCATAGAGGATAGATTTTTAAGTTGACTTTCCACCAGGCAAACGTAAACGTTGGAAAAGAGGATGTTTTAAATTTTTAAAATCGTTTCGAGGGATTGGACGATGACTGTGAAGATTGATATAATGATATGCGTCGTATAAGGATATATCAAAAATAAATGGTTGTTGGTGGTCTAAATTCGATAGATCTTGGAAAATCGTTCGGCAAGAAAGGATTGTTAAGAGGAAAGTAAATTTTTTTCGTGCAAAATGTAACATTCATTCGCGGAAACAAGAATTGTTCTTTTGATTATCATACGTCTTCAAAAGTTCAGCAATCAATAACTAAACAATAATTTTTATAACGTGCAATATATGTATTTTGACGAGACAAAATCTTTTCGAATACTTCGAATTTTCAACTTACACTGAACGTAACGTCCTCATCCTTTGGAAACCTGAAAATTCATAATTTAATTCCAAAGAATCGTTCGAAACGAAGCCACGATTTTTTTTTCCCAGGATATTAGATAATTCGTCACCGAAAAGATTAAACTCGAAGAGCGTTCTAAAGAAAAGGAATCTTGGATTGAACGCGAGAGAAATGTTGCTTTCGTAGTTGTAAACCAGAGTTTACGTTTACTACGTAAACCCCCATCTTTTTGGGATAGAACCGAGAAAGAAAAATATGTTTTCGACGGTCGCGTTTCCGATAAAAGGCAGCTGGCGCGGTCGTAGTTTCCCCCGAGTTCGTGCGCGAATCTCGAAGACGCGGCTTACATCTCTGGCCAGCTATCATCGCGAAAGGAACGCGAATATCGTTGTACGAGATCGTTCGTTTTCATTCGTTCGGGGACACCGTTTACGGGTGATTTTTACACCAGCTTGGAGGCGGAACCTTCAATTTCCTGGCCGATCGCAGGAAACTCGATCCCCATCGACCCAATTCCCAGGAAAAACGAGTCGTTCTCCCTATTAAAGGATCAAGGAAAATGTTGCTCCGTTACTATTATTATCTTCTATCCCAAGCAAATTTTATCTCGATGCTTATTAGCCGCCGCCTGTAATTCTCACCTTCTTTACGAATTAGGTTGAAGAATTTTTGTGCAAACATGGTTACTACTTTTTTCATCATTTTTACATCCCCACCTTCGTTTTGACTCGAGCGATTCATGCTAGATCTCGTTTCGCAGTGTCGATTCCTACGGATCTTTATTTCTTCATCGCGAAATTTATCACGTTCGAAATGAAAAATTAAAATTATTTAGAAATGAAATGTAGAGAGGAAATACTTAAAGAAAAAATTTAGAAATTTTCCAACGAGAAGATATCACGAATAACCTTCGGCCTTCCTTCTTTCGCTCGCGTGACGCACGAATACGTACGCTATTAATTTGATCGAGAGAAACGGTAGGATGATTTAAACGCACGCGTGCGATGACACTTGTCGGTCCGTGAGGGGAGTTTTTCGCGGGAGGCACGCGAGTGGCGCGACATAAACAACCCCCACGGAACCGGGAAGCACGACGGAGAGTAATGCGATCGGTGGTCCGACCTTGGTGTTGAGCGTCAACTAGCGGAGACGACAACCACTCTTACCTTCTCGCCAAGGTGAGGCAAGGCGCACACGCAACCGCGCACCTCCGATCGGAGGTCGATGACGGATACCTTGGAAATTGTGACAGAGGGGTCTCCACACGATGCCAATTTTGCGACGCTGATACAAATCTGAGAGGAGGAGGAGGAAGGAAAATGGGACGTGGATTCTCGCGGATCGTTTGAAAATTTCGAAAATTGATTATTGAATCAATCGCGTGTCTCGATTTATTTTGATTCCTTTTAGAAGAACTAGATGAAGATTTGAAATTTTCTAGCGTTTAGAAGAATCGTACGATTTCTAGAGACTGTTCCTTTCTCGATTGGATCAAATTGAAATCGGAAGATCTCGATTCTGATGATCGATCGAGGGTGAGGAAACAAACTCGATTTTTTTTTGATTCCTTTTAGAAGAACTAGATGAAAATTCGACGAAGATTTGTTTAGAAGAATCGTACGATTTCTAGAGACTGTTCCTTTCTCGATTGGATCAAATTGAAATCGGAAGATTGGATCTTGATTCTGATGATCGATCGAGAGTGAGGAAACAAACTCGATTTTTTTTGATTCCTTTTAGAAGAACTAGATGAAGATTTGAAATTTTCTAGCGTTTAGAAGAATCGTACGATTTCTAGAGACTGTTCCTTTCTCGATTGGATCAAATTGAAATCGGAAGATCTCGATTCTGATGATCGATCGAGAGTGAGGAAACGAACTTTTCCTCGTCGTAAATTCGTTGAACGGCCTTCGATTTCGATCGTTTTACATAAATCTACCCAAATTCTTTCCTCCTACGTCTTTATCACGAAGATTCTGTGCAAATAACAAGAAAAGTAACAATAATCACGCTTGTTCGAAACACTTGACACGATGGAAGGACAAATTTGGAGCGATTAAATCGAGGAGGGAAGCAAGGATGGTTGAAAGTTGGCCACCGATTGTGTACAAAGTCGCCGTTAGCCCGAAGGTTTGGAAAGAAAGTTTAGCCCCCGGTTGATTAAGGGATAGTGGAAGCTTGATTAAAGCTTGGTCGTGCAGCGACAAAGAGGAATGTTTTACGGCTCGCTTCAAGGTGAGCCGCGAGTCGAACACGCGATCGCGAGAGACTGAGGAACGGTCAGGTGTTGAGAAGCAAGGCTAAGCCCGTAAGGGAGAGCCGGAAGCGCGTTTCGCATTCGAGCCGGCTTCCATTATTATTCCCCAACCCGGTGAACTTTGATTTAACGCATCCCCGAGGATTTTAACGAGCAAGAGGCCCTCGACAATACTTGTGCACGCGCCCCCTCAAATTTATTATGGATAAATATTATGGAAGGAGGTGGGAGAGAGTTTTGGAAGCTTTGGAAGTTTGGTAAAACTTGGTTCGTTGAGAGAATTTCTCCTGTTCCTCGTGTTTTTTTTTCTCGAACTCGTCTCTCTCTCTCTCTCTCCTCGTCGTTTTATTTATAGACGGGCAGAAAATTTTCGCAATACGAAACTTGTCTATTTCGATAAAAATTTGGAGAAAAGATTCACCATCGTTGAAATACGAGTGAAAGGAATTAATTTATAGAGATCAATTAGAGATTGTTTAATTAAACGAAATACTTTACGAGCGGCATAACGAAGAATTCAATTCGTTTTCTTTTTTTTTTTTTTGTAACGATCACAGCAGAGTCTGAAACAAGATTTGTCCCGTTTACACGTTTAATCCTATTATACAGAAAAAGAAAAAAATTTCTCGTTATTCGTGATCCCTGCACAAGCGATCGAAACAATTCCGTTTTCAAAAGCAAAGCGAAAAGAAGCTATTCGCTCTAATTCCTCTTGGAATAGAGAGAGAGAGAGAGAGAGAGAGAAAAGGAAAAATTCTCCTCGCGAAGGAACACGCACTCTACGCGTTGAATCTTTCACCTGTTCACACGAGGAGAGATAGACGTCGCGTGAATAAACACAGAGGCTGTGAATGAACAGGTTGAATAAGAGAAGGAAGGAAAAGGCGTGAAAAGGAGATGAATGGGGTCGCTTTTTAGCCGGCAGATTTTTATCTCACACGTTAAGACGTGTGCGTGACGATAATACGACTGGAAAGCTGCATTAACCACGTAGCGAAATCCGAATAACGTGTCTGGACCAAGAATGAAACTTGATGTACGCGTGTTCCAAAACACACTTTTTCTTCTCCTTTCTCGAAAAGGTTTCTCGAAACAATAAAAAGTCACGATTAATCTCATCGATCTCTCGTATATGGGTAAAATTAATTTGGACTTAGCTTAAGAGCTACGTACATTTCCAAATGGATAAAGCTGATAATTCACGGTTGTATTAAAGAATTGAATTGACTTTTAAACCTCGGCTCGAAGGATCGAGTTGGAGCACTGAGAGCAGTTTCTTGTTTCGAGAGACGTTGTGCTGTGTTTCCCAAGGATCGCCTCGATAGGGAGAAATTGAAGAAATCCGGGGTCTTAGGCGCTCGTTTCGAAAAGTTACGTGGCATCTTGTAATTGGAGGAAGAAATTCTGGACGTAAATTGGAATTAGGTAAACGAGGTATCCATTTAATCGTGGAATCATGGTTTGAATTATTCGTTCGCCAAAGTTGCAACTTATTATTGCGATCGTATCGCTGAACATTAATCAATCGATTGCTGGCCAGGTATCGTTTCACTTTTTTAATTTATTTCGTTTCGTTTTCTTACTCGTCCTATCGAAATCGTTGAAACTGATAGAATCGAAAGCGAATCGTAAGAATATTATAAATATTCTTATGAATCTGCACGAATTGAAACGCACGGTGTCCCCATTCTTGCCACTCGTCTCGTTCTACCTTTATTCATCGATATTCCTTTGCCGCTTCTTGGAATTCTTCTTCCTTCATTTCTTTGCTCTCCGATCTTTCTCGTCGTTTCGTTGCGATCGTAACCCCTTACGTTTTAACACTTTTCTATTTATTGAAATTTTGTTCGAATTCGACGTAACTTCGCTCTCCGGAATATGAGAATTTTTCCAAGTTTAAAATCTCATCGAGTATATGGAATGTATACCCACACATACACATATATATATATATATACTCAAGCGAGTATTTCTCGAGGGAGATTCACAGTTGCCAACAGTATCTCGGAAAATATGTTTTCCCATTAATCGGTTGGCATTTTTAAAAAATCGATACCCCTTGAAACGAACGATCGTAACGAAACTCACGATTGTGCGTGCCTCGACTCGTACGAGATATTTCGATTATATACGAGAATTATCGTGGAAATCGCGGAGAGCGAGAGAAGGATGGAAGATTCTTGGGTAAACGGAACGCGCTAGTTTTCCTATCGCATTATATATTGTTTTTTTTTTTTTTTCTTCATAGAGGCCTTGGCGTGTTCGCACGCACTCGTCGATCCCAGGCGAGGATATTTTCGCGTATTATTTTATAGAGAGAAACTGGAGAATGGCGGGTTGAACCAATTTCATCCACGGAACGGGAATAAAAAAATTATCGGACCATGCATCGGAGCCGGGCAGGGAGGGGAAGGTTAAAATCCGTCGTAAAAGTAAGAAATGCGTTTCGCCTTTCCTTGTTGAAAGGAAGGAGGAAATCGCCGCATAATGAAATTCATCGGTGAGCGCAAGCGTGGGATTATTAATCGTTCAAGCTTCGATCGAATTAGCGTCGTAGTTTAAAATTCATAAAGAATTCAGACGTGTGTGTTGCAGGAAATGAAACGAGCGTAAACATGATTTCGTTCTCGAGCCCTTGGAAATTCTTCTAACGCTGATCTGGTGTAGAGAGGAAAATTGTAATTCGTTGATTGATCGTCCTGTTTTGCGCGAAGCGATCCGTTTGATTTAATAAAGAAGCAAATCGAGGAGAGATTACAAACACAACCGTCGATTAAATTATTCTCTTTGATCAGAGCTTTATGGAAACATCTTATTTTCTTACTTCTTATCTTAGTTTCCAAGCTTCGATTGCATCGTGCAACGAATTATTTACGAACGTTAATTTATTTGCAACCGCGACGATCAAAAATCAGAGATTCGATTCGTAACGAATCGTATCCCAAGAAGGGAGCGACCGTTGCAGATGCACGGCAGCGATTTACCACTTTTTAGACATGTAAATTCCTTGAATCCACCCCCGACAATAGCGTGCAGAAACGCCGCAAGGTAAAGTTGCGCCGTTGAAAAGAGAGCGCGGCCGACTGCAGGAGTGGTGGAAAAAGGAAAAAAAACGGCAGTCCATTACGCGGATCTATTTGTATTACGAAATCGTTCTGTCAACACGGGGGAATCGATGTCAGGGTTGGTCGGTGAACAAAATGGACAAAATCTGACGCTATCCCTCGCGCGAAAGTAAAACGTCGGATCTGGAGGGAGGAAAGGAGATGAAGCGGAGGCGTTCGACGTTCCATTTGTTCCAACTTTTCTCTTTCTCTCGACGAATGTGAAATCGCGTTGCGCAACCGAGCGAAATAAACATCGGCCGAGGATCTAAAATTGCGAGGATCCGGTAAATAATCTCTTAAGATAATTCAAACAAGCGTGGCGAGGCAACGTCAGTCAACTTTTGACGAGGCAATCGGTTCGCCCGCCTTTGATGTGCCACATTTTTCTTTCTCTCCAACGCACGGAACAAACAGTCGTGACACGAAGACTCGCGACTTCCTCTAACGGAATTAACGGCCGTATCCATCCCCTTGGCGCATACAAATGGCTGTTGCGGTTCTGGAGAGAGAGAGAGAGAAAGAGAGAGTTGATTCGTTCCACCCTCGTGAAATATGCACGCCAACGGATCACGTATCGTTACGGGGAAGGGAAAAAGAGGGAAAAAGAGAGAGTTCCGCGCGAGGGAAATTCTCATTACGCGTTCGAAATGGTTGGAAATGTTCCAAACGAAACTACCCTGAACTTGTCCCCGCTGTGAACAACCAGAGAGCCAATACAACCAGCTCTCCCATTTTCGAATGGAGGTTGGAAATTTTTCCAGACGCCGGGTCGATACACGCCGCCGGAATTTCCGACGAATTAAGCGCGCCCCTTCCGGGTTGACGCGGCCACGCTGTTTCGTTCCCTGCAATCGGATCCGCCCAATTATCGGAGACGTTGCATTTCCTCCGTTCGATGAACGGATCGCGTTTCAACTTTGTCGAGGAAGTGTTTGAAATCGAGGAACGGAAACGAAGGATTTCGAAACGATTTCGAAATTTCAAAGAGCAGCGAAAGAAGAAGTTTGGCCACGAAAACGTTGTTGTTTTCCCTCCTTCCTAGCTTCCTAGAGGAGGCCACGTTGACGCACCGGTTAACAAAACAAAGTGCACAGTTTGTTTAAGTTGTCGCTTATGCCTTGTATTTTCCCCCGCCGGTTTGTGTGTATCGCGCTGCGCCCCGTCAATTTTCGTATCGATTGCCAAGTCTGACCTAACACTGACACACTTCACTCGCCGCAAGTCTGACCTCTGTCACGGTATCGATCGTAATCTCACGATTTCTACGATTCATAGAAGTTCCCTAGTAGAACACTTTCGCCATTTTCGCCAAGGCAGACAAATTTATTATTCTTTGATGGGGCGAGTAGAGCCACGATACGACGCGACGATGCTCGTCGAAACGATCGTTAAACGTCGAAGGGGAAGGAGAGATCGAGCGAGGAGAGATGGAAACGGTCGCTTTTCACCGACTGCAACGCGTTGTTCTTTTTCGGGGGGGGGGGGGCGAGGAGGAGGAAAGGGAAGGCAAGAATACACGTCGAGGTGAAACACTCGTACGCTCGATTTCAGAATCGCGTTATTTCCCTTTCTTCTTGGTAGAATTTCTTGGATATATATCGGTGTAGGAGGAATTCGAGGAGGTATTTGCTCGGAGGTATTTTTGCGATTAAAGAATAGGGATATCGTTGGATCGATTCGTTAATAAGAATCTAAGGGGGAAATTACTGTTAACTGGGTACATAAAGAATGGAAATTTCGAAGGACGTTTAGACCACGTTCTCTCCCCTTCCCTCTCGCTGATGAAAATCGAAGTTGGAGAACTACGTGAGTGGGATACACGCTTCGATTTTGTTATCACTTTGGAGAGCTGGCGTAGCTTTGAGGGATGAATATATTCGAATATATTCTATTTCGGTGGATTCTATGCTCGATAAAGTTTCTCTCGTTTCGTAAAGTTTTTCTTTTTTTTTTTTCTTTTATATCGGACAAAGAAATTATCCACTCCGTGCAACGAAAAGGTATTTCTGGTATCTTTTAATGGTTAATCGAGTGATCGAGCTCGTGCTCCATTCGTCTAATGGAAGGATTCGTCTGTATTTTCCAGCCCACTAACATGTGGTTCACCTACAATGATGGAATCTTGGGGTCCTGGGAGGACTGGCACACCCCCGCCTGCTCTTCCACCCCCTCCACCTGGGGGCAACAACGGTGGTGCAACGTCTGCAGCAACCGCAACCGTTGCACAGCCCAGCACGACCGCGCCGATTGCCAGCCCGGAAGGGGTGAGCGACGTAAGTGGAAAAACCAATGACAAGACAATTTTCAATTTCAAATATTCGCGTTACGAAAATTATTTCTCTTCCGTCTCTTTCATCAATCTTATTCGCGAATATTATTCTTAAATTTACCCTCAAATTCGTTACGAAGCAATCATCGAATTGTCGGAAGAAGGAGGAGGCAGGGGGAAAGAAAAGAAAAGAAAAATCGTTTCCCCGGGCAGGGAACGTATCGAGAGGAAATCGAAATTCGTTGGAAACAATACGCTCGAAACGCAAGGTTGCCGTGCAAAGGTCGGAGCTAATGGCGCATACCTAAGCCGGGGCGCGTGTGGAGAGGGCGAATGAAACGAGTCGTCGCGCCAACTCCTTCCACGTCCGTTTCAATTTCACAAGCGTCCATCCAACGGTGGGAGGGGAGGGACGTTGGTCGCTCCATCGAACCGTGCTAACTGAATCGCGGGGATCCTCCTCCATTCCCACGATACGTTTCCGCATCACACGATACGCTTCTGCCTCCTTCACCTTCATTATTCATCCTCGTCCTCCACGCTCCTCCCCCCGCTTTTTATCAAAATTTTTATTATCGAACGTTCGAACTTGACTCGTTCGAACGCGATGAAAGGAATGAAAAAGAGAAATGCACGCGCGCGGTGCACAATACGAGGCGAGCCTTAGCCTTAAACCGTGCCCTCAACCCCCAAGGCCCCCGCCACGGGGCTTGAATTCAGCGTGATCGCGTGCACCCGCTTCAAAACACGTCCGGTATCGATCGATGGTCGCAGGAGTGTACGCGATGCTAACGATATTCAAGCCAGGTTGTCACGTGAAACAACGGAAGTCCGAGTCAAGGGTAGAGCTTGGACACGGTAGAGCTATCTACGGTGACCGACTCTCTCTTTTTTTTTGTATATATTACGTGTATGTATGTATGTATATATATATATATACACGATCGTTGGAAAAATTCGATCTCGCGATTAAATAAGTCGAGTTCGTTCCTACGATTTTCCATTCGTCTCTTCCATTTTTTCTTTCTCTTTCCATTCGCTCTTTTCCAGGTCTCCCAAAAGTCTGGAATTTGGGAGGGGGGGAACTTCTCGGCGGCTGGTGGCGCGGAGGGACCTTCCCGAAGCGTGTCGCACGCGGCGAGCTTGGACGCGATCTCGAGGAGGGCGGTGAAACCGGAACGGCGAGGGTTCCGTGTCGCAGCCTCACCTGCAGCGTTTGTAAGTAGCTGAACATTACCCTCCCCCTCCCCCCTACCCTACCTCCCGATTGCTCGTTCGCTCGTTCTCTGTTTTCAGTTTCTCTTTCTTTCTTTTCCGCCTCGCTCCCTCTCCCTGTTTCTCTCTCTTCTCTCTCTCTCTCTCTCTCTCTCTCTCTCTCGTCTTAC